GTGTGTGTGTGTGTGTGTGTGTGTGTGTGTGTGTGTGGCACTGGTACTGGGACTCAAACTCAAGGCCTTGCGTTCTTGCTTGGCTTTTTCACTCAAGCCTGGTGCTTTTCCACTTGAGCCCATACCTCCACCTCCAGGGAAAGTGTCTTGACTCACCTGTTTTCAGGGGAGAGGATGATCGAGACACCCGATCCTGCCAACTGTGCTTTTTGCCTAGAGAATTATTATTCAGCGTGTCCTGTGCAGAGAACAAAAGGCCCTTGTGAAGTGGTCAGCAGTGCCCGGCACAGAGAGGCCCTGGCCCTGCCCCCACTGGGCCACCCATAGGCCATCCCTAGGCTGTGTGCTGTATTTGGCCTGCCTGCCTCCTGCCAAGGGCCTTACTCCCAACCCTCCTCAGACAAGCAGGATGGTTAGCAAGTCACTGCTCTCCTTCCTAGGCCTGCTGGCTCTAGATGGCTCTCCCTTCCTTCTGGCTTGTGGAAGTTGGCCCACCCCCAGGGAGCTGTTCTTATCAGCCTGAGCCCAGTGGGGATGATCATGTGTGGAGGAGTGGAGGAGGTGGGAAAGGAGTTGTCTGGAGAGAGAGAGGCCCTAGCCCCACACAGAGGTTGTACATGTCAAAACCAGCCTGAGTGGAGGACAAGGTGAAGCCCTGCCCAGGAAGGAAGAAGGGTCTTTCCTAGCAGCTGGCCTGGGGGCCTGGGATGAATCATCCAAATGAGGACTCCATAACACTCCCCCCACACACCCCGGTCACATGTGCCTGAGGAATGACACACGTAATCAGCAGCCCTCCCTCCTGGATCTCCAGGACTGCCTTGCCCACATTCACAGCGCCCTGGGGCCCTTCCACAGTGCCCACACACAAGCCTCCCCCCCTAACCTCTTGCCGAACTTGGGCTTCCTCTCCTGGAAACACCCTCCAAAGCCCTCACATTCATGAGTTGGGCTGCCAGAGGATCCTGGGAAAGGGACCAACCCCCTCCCTGCTGCCCAGGAACCACCAGCAGCTCCACCTCCCCAAGCGCCCAGCAGCTCCCTCCTCTCCTGACTGGGAAGACAAAGGGCCCCAGCTGCTCCCCCTCAATTCAACTTCCCTTGGCACCCAGCCACTCACCAGGGGCCCCAGGCCCCCAACTCAGCCAAGCAGCTCCCTCCTCTCTTAGCTGTCTGGAATTCTCAGCTGCCTGGCTGCTGTCTAAATGCTTCCATCCCCAGCTCCTTACAAGTTTTCTCCTGACCTGTTTCTGCCCCTACCCTCACCAGGAGCCCTGTAATATACCGGGGGAACCCCATCACTGCCCCAGGTGCCCAACTCGTTCCAACTTCTCGAAGCCTTGTTCTCCCACCCCACCCCCTACCTCTCTCCTCATTCCAGGCCTTCCATTGGCCCTGGAGACCCCATTCACTCCCTCAAGTCTCCACACAGTGGACTGGACTCGGCCTGCGAGGAGGGCCTCCCTTCCTGCCCTGCTGGGTGGAAGACGCGTTCCTGGCGCCGGGGACGGCCATGTCCTTCCTCCAGCTGTCCAGACCTGGAGGGCCGAGTTAGGCCCAGGACGCGCCCCCTCCTCCTCCGAGGCCCGCCCCAGGGCGCCGCCCCCTCAGCTCCACCCCCGCCCCCTTCCCCCGCTTCCCGCGCCTCACCTGAGACCGGGGCACCTGCGGGAAAAGGTTGAGCGTGGTGGGCCGCTTGGGTCGGTATGTGTCACCGCTGCCCGTGCCCTGGCCTTGGCCCTGGCCGCGGGGCGCCGGCTCCTGACCTGATTCGGCCTGGGGCGGCCCCGCTCCCGACCGCCGTGACGCGCGCTCCTCATCTTCGTCCTCCTCGTCGTCCTCCGCGCCGGGAGTGTCCCCCGCTGCATCGATCAGGTCCATCTGCAGCATCTCCGCCTGCAACCGGC